TATATATATATATATATATATATATATATATATATTTATGTTAAGCTTGAACCACAGAAACTACATTTTAATTCTTAACGGACATTTTTTTGTGAAGCAAAACGGAAAGAGAACAAAGTTTAAGGATAGAGGGCAAAACAAGACGGATGCAGATGTTGAGAAATAGAGTGCATGAAATAAACGAGCATGCAGTTTAAAGGACAACCAACGTGCAATTAGAAAATCCACCAGAATGTGTAATTAAAACGATTCTTACCATGGTGGTGAGGATGTACTTATAGAAGGCTGACATCATCCCCAGCTCCTTTGCCTGAAGGTCACAAAAACAAAAGATGAGCAAAGAAAGAAAAGAAGCACAAACAATTACATTTCATCTGAACAATTTCCAGCTGTTTGTCTTTTGGATGCACTCTTCTTCGGGCAAAGTGTGCAAACTTGCACAAAAGCTTTGACAATTGTTTAACATTGGATATAATTACAGACACAACCTGAGACCAAACCTGCAGCTTTATAAGATTATGAGACTGCAGCACAGACTACAGCGCTACCCCCCCCCCCCCCCCCACCCCACCCCATAAACAAGTTTCAGTCTTCTTCTTTTTCGTATTTCACTCTTCAGGAGTCTCCACAGCGAGTCCTCCTCCTCCATCTCACTCCGTCCTCTGCATCCTCTGTCCTCACTCCAACTACCTCCATGTGTATCCTGATGCATGCTCAATAATCCAGGTAGAAAAATCTAAAAAAGTTAAATCTGGTCCTCTGGCCATTCAAAAAAAGAAAACAAAGCAAAACAACAAAAAAAAAATGTAGAAACGTTTCGTCTCTCAGTCGAGAGACTTCCCAAATCCAATCCATTTCCAGTCATAACAATGTGGGCAGCAGCGTTTAAACACAGTGCGTGTGTCGTCTTTTGTGTGTGACGTCTTGGTCAAATGGTTTTCTGAGGATGTTTAACGTAGAAAAAAAACAACACGCACATTTTAAGAACTGATATTTATGGTTCTACAAATGAGATCAGAACCAGGGCTAGAATTTGGAAACACGTTATTTAAAAACGTATGTGTTTTATTACTTGTGTAATCCATGTGCAGGGTCGTAGTTCGTTTTAGAAAAACATTGTGACGACAAAACTCATTGCAATTTTGTGAGAATATTCACTTATTTATTTGTTTGTTTGTTTGTAAGACCTTAAACATGGTTGCACATAAGTATCTGTGTGCATCCCACCAGTCCTAGCGAACTGAAGGATTCACTCAGTGCAGACGGAGCTGCAGTCAGTCTTCTAAAAAGCCAATTTTGCAAAGTGAAATGACAGCCTGTTGGTTAAAATGGAGGCTGAGGAGACAACAATAAACAATTATCGTTTACAAACAGAACAGAGAAAATATAATATACAAAAATAAACAAAGAAAATAAAAAACAAAAAAATACCTTAAAGGTGTGTATTACAAAAGCATGAAGACAAAAAATATATATTTTCTTAAAATGAGGAATACAATCTGCAGTTTACATCCCTTCAAACTGATGATGTTTCTTAATAAACAAAGAATGAAACATTTGAGACCAGACGCCAACAATGTTTGTTTATTAGAAGAAACAGCTAAAAGTAGGTCAAACATTCAACTTATTGTCCATATTACGTAGATAAACCATGTCTTGCCTAATGCGGGCCAGTCTTGACTTCCCGTGATTTTTGTTGTGATTCAGAAACATGTTTTGTTTACAGTGAGTGTGGACCCGCATTTAATCAGAATTGTATTCAATAATCTGGAAAATTATAAATCCTTTTAACCGCAGTATTTAAAAAAACAAAAAAAGTCTTACTGTATGTTTTTTAATGATTATCTTTAATCTCTTTTTTAATTAATTTTAGCTTGGCCTCAAGTAGCAACAAAAACATATACATTATTATTTTTTTCATCCACCCTTTATAAATACAGGTATATGTCTCATTGAGTCATGAGAACTCATTTTCAAGAGAGAACAGTTTTTGGGAGCAGCTGGACGGGGTTAAGGGCCTTGCTCAGGGGCCCAGAGACAGCAAATAAGGGTGGAGGCAGGTGTGGGTGTTTTCCCTTTTCCACCCACATTTTGATGTTGACTGTACCGGGAGTTGAACCTGCAACTTTCCAATCAGAGAGCTGCCATCTAGGGCGCCCAGGGGAGCAGATTGTGGGGGGTTAAGGGCTTTGCTCAAGGGCCCAGAGTGAGCAAATGGAGGCAGGTGTGGTTGCTTCACCTTTCACACCCACGCCTTGATGTTGTCAGTCTGGGGAGTTGAACCAGCGACCTTCCAATCCCAGGCCCACCTTCTCTAACCTCTGTCCCACCTCTCTCCTGATCTTATAGCTATTTTAAAGAACAAAAATAAATAACATTATATATATACTATGAGTACCTGCTAAGCTTTGTGGAACGATGACTCATATTCTTTTTATCTGAAATGAACTTGGGTTTTCGGTGTTTGCACTTTATTTATAATTAGTCTCTCGTGAGTTAATGTTATAAAAGATGCTCCAAAGTCAAGACTGGTGTCAAAAGAAGCTGTAATTTTACACTTTATGTCAGTTAATGTCATTTATGTGTTTGTCAATTTGTGCAACTGTTGTCACCACGCACAATGACATCATTTCCTGCGTGATACCGGTTCGCCTACATCTGTGCCAGTGATCATCCTCACCTTCCTCAGGATGTGGTAAGAGATTGAGGCGTTGGCATCAATGATGATGGTCGCCACTTTATCATCACGGATCTCCTTCAGCAAGGGCGTGGGATCCAAACTGTCATCCAGCATTCGCACGGACAGAGTGTCCCTGGAGATCAGGAAGTGGCGGACGAGCTCCTCCAACCGGAGCAAACCTAAAGGGAAGGATCAAGAAAGAGAGTTACAAAACTGCTTCCTCACAAAAGTAAATATGGCATCCACTTTCAATGATGGTTGAGTAACAGAACTAACCATTTTGTTTGGAAAATGACATTTTTGGCTTTGGCAAAAAAGTAATTCAACAAATGTGTTGGTGCTGGATACTCTGAAATAATACACAGATGAGTAATTGGCTCATTTGCTTGTTAAATTATTACTTCGATTTAAAAAGTTGAAAAAAAAAATCCACAAATTGATGAGACTTCAAGTCATTAATGTGACAAATAACAGTTGCTGCTTGAAGACCTGCAGAAGGCAATAAACAGGCTTGGATAAAGGCGATTATGCTGAAAGGCCATTATTTCTCTCCTCAGAGAAAGCATTTTGTCTCATGTGTCCATATTTGAGTGGATTTACTTATTAGGGACTGTTGTTTCAAATGTATATAAATACAAGGTAGGCAGCACCTAGCCTTCTTTTGTTTATTCATTTATAAAACTTGAAATCTAAAATATGTTGGGACTTATAAAAATAATATATATATATA